GCAACCACAGCTGTTGTATAGCTGTGGCAACCACAGCTGTTGTATAGCTGTGGCTGCCACAGCTGTTGTATAGCTGTGGCTGCCACAGCTGTTGTATAGCTGTGGCAACCACAGCTGTTGTATAGCTGTGGCAACCACAGCTGTTGTATAGCTGTGGCTGCCACAGCTGTTGTATAGCTGTGGCTGCCACAGCTGTTGTATAGCTGTGGCAACCACAGCTGTTGTATAGCTGTGGCAACCACAGCTGTTGTATAGCTGTGGCAACCACAGCTGTTGTATAGCTGTGGCAACCACAGCTGTTGTATAGCTGTGGCAACCACAGCTGTTGTATAGCTGTGGCAACCACAGCTGTTGTATAGCTGTGGCAACCACAGCTGTTGTATAGCTGTGGCAACCACAGCTGTTGTATAGCTGTGGCAACCACAGCTGTTGTATAGCTGTGGCTGCCACAGCTGTAAGCAGTTGAGGGGTTGAGGGAAGAACGGGGGTAGTAGTAGTGGCGTGGCGTCAAAGGAAAGGGGAGGGTAAGGAAGTGGCGAGGGTAAGGGGGCGGTGAGGGTTGGGGGGGGGGGGGGGGGGGGGACAAGGGGAGTGTGTAGCCGAGTTTGTAGTGATTAGGAAAGGACCGACAACAGCAGAGGTGAGAAAAGGGGGGCTACGCTACATAAGCCGACACACATATCACCCAGCCGCCAGCCCATTCACACCCCTCTCTACCGCACCCCACCTGCATGCTGGACAGCCCCTGCATCACTTGGTTGACGCACCGCACATAGTTGCCGCAATCAATAATACCCCATAAATACCCCAACCATCCCATGATCCCACGCACCCATTTCCACCCATTTCCACCCATTCCCACCCATCCCACCCATCCGCACACCCCCTCACCTGCATGCTGGACAGCCCCTGCAACACTTGGTTAATGCACCACGCGTAGTTGCCACTGCAGTGCAAAAATCACCCATTTCCACCCACACCCACACATGCATACCCCGTGTCTCCCCTTTCCCCCACTCCCCACCTTCATGCTGGACAGCCCCTGCACCACTTGATTGATGCTCCGCGCGTAGTTGCCACCTCTGCAGTCCACATGCACACCCACCCAACCCCACCCAACCACACCCAATGCCCCAAACCTCAAACCCTAACCACCTGCATGCTGGACAGCCCCTGCAACACTTGGTTTATGCACCGCGCGTAGTTGCCACAGTCAAGAGCCCTGGGCGTCGGCAGCAGGCACGCCTGATTCACCCATCGAAGGGGGAAGGAAGATGGGGGGAGGGGGAGGGGGAGGGGGGGTGGGGGTGTGTCTATTTTCTGTGGCACTTGGTTGATGCACCACGCATAGCGGCGTAGCTACCAGTCTAGAGCCCTGGGCGTTGGAGGGGGAGCGGGGGAGTGGGAGTGGTTGATGCACCGTGCATAGCGGCGTAGTTACCGCAATCCAGAGCCCTGGGCGACTTTTGAGTCGACTCAAAAGGCAATCCAGAGCCCTGGGCGACATTTGAGTCGACTCAAAAGGCAATCCAGAGCCCTGGGCGACTTTTGAGTCGACTCAAAAGGCAATCCAGAGCCCTGGGCGACATTTGAGTCGACTCAAAAGGCAATCCAGAGCCCTGGGCGACTTTTGAGTCGACTCAAAAGGCAATCCAGAGCCCTGGGGGCGTAGGCAGCAGACATGCCTGAACAGATTTAGGGGGGTGGAATTTGGGGGTTTGGAGGGGGAGAGAGGGAGGGAGAGAGGGGAGATACGTCTATTTCTTATGCACCGCACATAGTCGCCACAGTCAAGAGCCCTAGGCGTCGGTAGCAGACACGCCTGCTCACCGATCAGACAGGGGGAAAAGGGGAAGGAAAAGACAGGTGAGGGTGAAGGGGCGGGAGGCGGGAATGGGGAGGGGGGGAGGGGGGGGAGTGTTTAGGGGGGACCAGCAGAAGTCAAGAAAAAACGGGGATTCAAAGTAGGCACTAGGCACGACCACACGCACAAGGAGGTTGACCATGGGCAACAGGCACACCTGACATGGTTTGTGGGAAGGGGGGTTCGGGGAGACGTGGGAAGGGGGGTTCGGGGAGACGTGGGAAGGGGGGAAAGAGAAGAGGGTGGGGAGCGGAGGAAGGGCTTGGGGGGTAGAAGGGAGTTAAAAAAAAGGTGGGGGTTTTTGACAAGCAAAGGAGTGTTTCTACATAGCGAGTGTATTGAGTCGCTTTTTGAGTCACTCAAAAGGTGGGGGTTTTTGACATCCAATGGGAGTGTGTCTAGATAGCGAGTGTATTTGGCATGGCAGCACAGGGCATTGTCCCTGGGCATGGGCGGCACGCCGCCCGGATTTGAATGAAACTGAAAGTTGAGAAATTCGTGGAAGGCGGAAAAAGGGAAACAAAAACGTCTTTTATTACAAAACCTCCGCAAAACCCTGAAACCCACATCTACCGTCTTTCACCCCCAGCCAGCCTACTTCTACAGTAACTGCTAAATTTGATATATTCTAGTGATCCAATCCGAGCCGCTAACCTGAAGTGACAAATGCGAGGCCCAGCTGATCTCCTGTTTAATCACTGTCTCGCTGTCAGATCGCATAAGCGCATCCGGGGAGTCCACGTCAGCCCACGTGGAGAGCTTGCCGACCACGTGGCTGCTCCATTGCGACGGGCTCAGCACCAGATCCGATCCCGCGAAAGGCGGCACCACCGCTCCGCCTGCCGCGGCGGGCTTAGCTTCGCTCGGCCGGTAGGACGGGTCGGTCTACGGAGGGAAAAGGAAGAGAAATCAAACGGGGAGTGACGGAGTGAGGGATAATAGGCACCACTGTGAGGCGCCTCGAAGGGCTAAGGCGCGTAAACAGGGAAGAACATTTTAAAAGCGGGAGGGCGGAGTGAGGACTACTAGGTCTGGCCCTAGGCGGCACCGCTGCGCCGCCTGAATCCGCTTGTCTCGCCTCGGACGGTCGGGAAGCGGGATCAGCCTGAGGTTTGGTGAGAAGTGGATGGCACGAGCGGCGGATCTAGGGTTTCATGGCTCGGAAGTCTGATCCGCCATACGTGGTTTAGGGGATATCTCAGAAGATCGAAGCCTTCGGTCATAACTAAGAACAACTATTGAGGCTGGTTGTAGCAAGTACTAGCTCAGGGATGGGGTCGGAAGGTGCGCGCAAACGTCCCCCAATATCCATTTTGCGCTCTCAATACTGCTTAGGAAACGATATCGCTGATCTCTGGTTCGGCAGTCCTTCTCCTTCCCGTGGAAAGGATTGGCTCGCTGATCTCAGGTTCGGGAACCCCGAGGTGACTTTTGAGCCGAATTAGAAGTATCCGTTAAGTGCAAAAGATCGCCTCGCTGATCTCAGGTTCGGTAATCCCGGCAATGTACGGTGCAATCTACCAACAAACACTGTGCGATATTGCACCCAAAATCAGGAGAAGAGGAGCGTGTCGTCCGCAAATGGCGGGAGGGAGGGAGGGTGGGAAAGAGCGAAGGAGGGTTTGCGGGTCGCGGCGTACTAGAGGAGCGACGATGAAATCAAAGCCTCCTGCCAAGTTCGCCGCCAATGTGTGATGGATGTCCTCGCTATAAGCGACCTCGGCACCGCAGTATCGCGATTCGCTCGCGTCGCCGGCTCTTTGACCGAGCGGCATGGCTGACGTGGGCGGCGTGATCGCACGAGTCTGGAGAGAGAGATATCGCTGAACTTTGCAGCAGTCAGGCCTGCTTGACTAACGAGCGCTAACGAGGTATCTAGGAAAAATATCACTCGTTACTGATCTCAGTCTTGGGTCTGGGCAACACAAGTGCTGATAGAGGAAGTGACACAAGCCGGGTTTCCACAAAGGAAGTTGGCAACGAAATTAAAGCTCTGATAAGAAAAATATTACGCGGATCGCAATTAGATGTTGTAGCAGCTGGACCTACATTGTACACTATAGCGCGTGTGCTAGAGGGGGCTAATTCTCTCGCAGCTGATGGCACGGAGGTTTGTCTCGTGTGCACGCTTGCAACGAGTGAATGACAACTTTCTGTATCTGACCTCGTATGTATACAGAAACTCCCTTCACCTCATTTCCCACCATCTGACTTCCCAGTTTTAGCACAACCAAACCCTTCCTTTCCCCAGTCGACCTGAAACCATTTCCGTGGCTTGGAGGCGTCAGAACCAACGCGAAAAATGCCCCGCCAGGAACCCTCCGTCTTGAAGCTCTCCGCTTCTCTGCTGCTGGTTGCCCTCGTTTGTACTAGCTCATCCTTCCCTTCTCTAACTGAAGAGCACCACCGTGTTTTTGTTTTCTTGTTTCAGCGTACTTCATGCGGTGTTCTTCAGGAAGGTAAGTGTGACCATTCTCCGTCTAACGAGTTCCCCGGTTGCAGTGTCCCTGGCAGTGGTGGCCACAAGGTTTATGCTCCCAAGACTGTGGAAAAGGTATGTTTTTCGTTGGCCACGGTTGGATCTGACTGTGTAACTGTGCTCGTAATTTCAGGAGGACACCTCAGCTGGACTTTCCCCGTTGGTCTTATCGTCTCCTATCCAGCCCCCAATTACCGGAAGGCCTCCTCCGACCCGGCCAAGTTCCCTTGCGCGAAGCCTTTCTTGTTTGGCTGGGTCACCCTCAGCTGCTCGACTTCATGCAGACCTTGTGCGGCGCTTTTGTGCAACTCTCCAGGTCACCTCTGCCTCCGCTGGAGTCAGCTATTACCCAATTCCGCTGGCCCTTACTCCCGTTCTTCTCCCTCTCCTCATGCTTGGTTCCACGACTCGCTATGCCGATCTGGCACACAGTCCCTTCTGACGGGTTGCTTAGGCCATCGCCGAAGCGCCCAAACCCTTGATCTCAAAAATGCTTCCTTCTCCTGGCGCCTCGGCTCCCCGCCGTGGTGCCTCAACTTCATCCTCCCCTCTTGCTGCACCCCGTCGGTTCCTCGGCGTTGGTATAAACGCCATCCACCGTTAATTCCTCCTTCATCCCCCACCACCATGGCCTCTCACCACAACCCGGACGCCGTCATGGCTGACGAGCAGCTTGCCGTAGGAGATGACACGATCACCGATCTTGGTGATTACGTGCTCGAAGACCTTCCTGATGGCGCCTTGCCGGAGCTTAACGGAGAGCCTGCTGCTAAGAAGCAGTGCGGTGAAGGGACATCCTCTGGCTCTGCCGGCCCCAGCACTTCTACGGCCGCGCCGCCGGCGTCTCAGCCGATGCGGCGCTCTAACTCCTCCGGCAGCTCCGCGACTACGGCCCCCTCGTCCCCCCGTCCGGCGGCCCCACCGAGGCCGAGGTCTGCTCCGCCCTCTCGCCCTCAGCCCCCGGTCCAGGAAGCCGCGGCTGAGCAGCCTCCTTCTGGCTCGGCTTCCAACCTGGCCCTCTCGGTGCGCTATCGTAACCTTCGCTGTCACCGCCCCTCGGTGGGAACTGAGCTCCGGTCCCTGACGCACAACTCGCAGTCGCTAGTGGCGGTAATGTTTCCGAAATGCTCCGAGGAGGTTCGGGAGAGTATCCTCGCCCGGATCGCTGCTGCCCTTCCCGGACCGGCGGCCTTCAATGGCGCCGTTCCGCAATTCGATGCGGCCTCGGGTGAGCCGCTGCGCCTGCCGCGCAAGATGTACTTCTATCATATCTACTCCTGGCCCTCCGATGCTGACGCTCGCACCTTCCGCGAGCTGTTTGCGAATCCTTTCCTGGTGCGAATCCACAACAGCCGCCCGATCGAGGTCAAGATCCACACGGACCCTTACCCTGACTTCTCGGCAGCCAAGGCTCGCGGGGATACGCATGTGGTGGTGCGGAACGTGCCGCTCGGCATCAAGGCCGAGAACCTGCACGAATCGCTGCTTACCGGCAAAACCGAGGACGGTCTTCCATGGCTTGCGGACCTCCTGCATTTTCACCGACTCAAAGACCCCTACGATGGCTCGGCGTACTCGCAGATGCTCGGCCTCCCTGTCGCGGCTGAGGGCGACCCTTCCTTTGAGCGTATCTCGGCTATCCTCTGGATTTCGGACCAGGTGGAACCTGCCTTCCTCAACATCTCCAGCCACTCGTGCTCTCTGTGCTCAAGCAACCATCGGCTCGCGGATCACGCCTGCTTCGCTATCACCCGCCGCAACCGAGTCTCCAACAGGCAGACTATCACCATGTCCGCTCTCCAGGCGGTTAACGGTACTCTTCCCCCCCAGACACTGTCTTTCTTGGCTCCTTGCTGCCTCCCCCACCTGTTGGTCCTGCCTCCCACTAGGCTTCCCCCTGCCCCCCGTTACCCGTCTCTGTTTATCAGTACTTCCCCCACAAGTAGGTTTCTGGTTCCATCCAGCCTGCTGCCTCTGTGGCTGTCAACCGGCTCCGGCCGCACTACCCCCCCTTCCACTCCCCCCTATCTCTGTATACTGCGCCCCCGCCTTCCTCAGGAAAGCTCCTCGGCCAGAATGCTGCTACGGCTGCCTTCAAGAAGGACCCTGGCCTAGTCCTCATTGGGCTGGACCTCGATGTGGAGGTTTGGGCCTGCTCGGTCTGCGACTTCGAGTGTGGCATTGCGCTCGACATCGCGATGTTCCATATCAACTCCGACTCCCACCGCACCAAGTTGCAGGATTCCGCGCACCTGAACGCCACCAAGGACAAATACGGGGCCTGGAAGGCCGAAACCGTGGTGCAGCACCACCGCATCAAGGCTCTTCTGCAGTAGCCATTCCTCCAGGCAGCCGGCCAGAAGACGTGCTGTGGCCTTGCTCTCCTTTCCATGTGGTGCTTAGGCATTCTCTCCTTTGTCTCCTAGTACTGTCATACCACAGTCAAAGGAAGTTTGCCGTACAAACATACCGTCTCCCCCTCCGGCTCCCGTTCCGCCTTTATACCCCGTGGATGCACATGCCAGAGCATGTGGGGGTCCTAGCCGATGAACAATGTTAATTCCCCTAACTATCAGATGCATTAATGTGAACGGGATTAACAAGCAGCAGAAAATCAATGACCTTCGTGGTTGGCATAACAAATGTGACCCTAAAGCTGATATCCTCATTCTTATAGATACTAGACTTACTCTTAATTTCCAAAGACTCATACTGACGCTTAAACCTTCCTCATATGCGCACTGTCCTTCCCCTTTTGTTAACCGAAACAAACCAGGGGGTATCGCAGTCCTTGTCTTCAACAGCCAAATCTCCGTCTCATCCCAAACCCCTTCCCTTGACGGCCGGATCCTCTCCCTGCATATCAACTTTCTCGGCGAGCAACTTCGCCTAATAACCATCTACGCACCCTCCACCCCTTCTCTCAGACGCCCCTGGTGGAGAACTCTCTTCACGTCTGCACTGGAGAGTCCCACCTCCTCGAGCGGTACAATCGTGGCAGGAGATTTCAATGCCGTATGCTCAGCCGAGGATCGGAACAGGCCCCCCCTGGCGCACGAAACCTCGGAAGGAGCACTCCTTGCCACTGCACTCTAGCAACACTCCTTAGTTGACACATTCCGCCTCATCTATCCCACCGAGCCCATGTTCTCCTTCTTCGCCCTACCCAGAGTCTCACAAGGAGACTCCCCCCCCACCGCCTCACGTCTGGACCGCATCTATGTTTCGGACCACCTCAAATATCGGATTATAGACGCCCTGTACGCGTCTGCCTCCAAGGAACTCATCGATCACGACCTCGCTCCCTCCTGCGTTCTCCAATGCAACGCCCCGAACCTCGCCCCCAGACCCTGGCGGCTTCCATATTCCCTTTTACGCCGCCCTTTCACAGCCCAGCTCATCTCCTCGGCATGCCAATCCCTCCCTTCCGAGCTTAATGGTCTCAGCTGGGACGCCTGGAAGCTAGCCCTGTGCAACCAACTCAAAGCGTTCGGCAGACAGGAGAAGATTCGCATCAAAAAGACATCAGACCATCTCCAGAACTTGGTCAGTCACCTCCGTATCGCCCGAGCAGTCAACCCCACGGATAACGGACACACCGAACAACTGCGCATTGTTTCCCAACAATTCGACCAGTACGAAGCATCCCGCGCTGCCGACATTGCCCTCAAAGCGAAGCTAAAGGTCGAAGGCCCCCGCGAAATGGGCATCTCCTCTCTACTGGTTGGTCTCAACTCTCGTATTAAAGCCTCCCTAGTCACCTCTCTCCAGGCCCCCTCTGGCGAAACCATTTCCGATCTTCCCGCAATGAGTGCCTTGTGTACCTCCTTCTTCCAGGACCTTTACAGCGCCTCACACCCCGTGCATCCTGACGACAGCTTCTGGTCCCATGTTCCCCCCTCCCACATCCCCCCGCACATCACCGCACGCCTCGCACTCCCCTTCTCCATGGAGGAGATCTCCTCTGCCATCACCAAGCTCCCGCGGGGGAAAACCCCTGGGCCAGACGGGCTGCCTGGCGAGCTATTCAGCACCTTCAGAGCTAATTTCACCCCAGCTATCCACGCCCTGTTCCTCGCCTCCTCATCCTCCCTTCCTCCCACGATGCTGCAAGGACGCACAGTGCTTATCCCCAAGAAGGGGGATTCCACCGTCCTCGACAACCTCCGGCCGATCACGCTGATGAATTCCGACTATAAGATCCTCGCCATCCGTCTCGCCTCCCGTCTCCAGCCTCTGCTCCCTTCCCTCATACACCACTCTCAGGCTGCGTTTATCAAATCCAGGAAAATAGGCGACACGCTTAACGATACTCTCAACATTTCTTATTGGGCCGCCACTCAGCACATCCCCCTGCTCGCCTTGACGGTAGAAATCCACAAAGCCTACGACTTAGTCGATCGCGAATTCATGCTCTCATGCCTTGCTTTCCTTGGCCTCCCCCCCCCTTTTCTCAATTGGGTACGACTTATGCACTCCAACACCACAACCAGGATCTCTGTGAACAACCGGTGCGGGCCAGCCATCCCCGTCCGCTCCGGCGTCCGTCAAGGCTGCCCCCTTGCCCCCCTCCTTTTTCTCTGCGTTCTTGAAGTGTTTCATCGCTACTCCACCCACTTCCTCCCGGGCTTCCCTATTTCCCACACCCAGCGTCGCCTGATGGCATGCTACGCCGATGACGTGACCATATTCCTCAACTCGGATAAAGAACTTCAGATGGCCTCCCACGTCCTCCTCTCCTTCGCTGCGGTATCAGGGGAATATCCGAACTGGGCTATGTGAAGAAAACAGGAATGGATGCACTAGGAAAGAGGTGGGTACAAGTAGGAAACCCTAAAAGTGTTGTACCCTATATTGTCTACCCCACTACAGCCTACACAGACTATAGCATATAAGTCTGACACACCCCCATAGGCAAACTGGGGGAGAACAAGGGGTCACAAGACCAGTCAAGCAAGGCAAGCTCAGGGTGGATCACAACGTCACCATTTCGCGGACGCGGGAAAGTCCGAGCCGAAACTCTCTCTGAGCTGGAGACGAGCTGCGCGGATCCAGTCGATCAACACCTCAGTGACGTCACCCTTGCTGCGCAAGGGGAACACCGTGGTGTAACGCGAGTACTCGTCAACCACCAACAGGAAGTAACGCTCGTGACCCTGGCCACGGACGCGGGCGGGGCCCCACACGTCCGTGTGAAACGTCTTCAAGGGAGCCTCTGTCGGAGGAAACTCGGAGGAGGGGCGGCGCGCTGCCGCCCCTCGACGCAGGGGACGCAGGTAGGGGCAGGCCCCGGAGGTAGGGGAGGGAGGGACCGGGGCAGACCAGAGACAAGGATACGTGAGGCCATGCCTCGGAGACGAGGCAGGGAGGGGTGACCAAGGCGGTGGTGCCAAAGGAGAGTCTGGTGGGACAGGAGACGACACGAGCAGGGCGCAGACTCAGGACCAGACCTGGACGCTGCAGCAAACACCTGACTCGACGCAGCTACCTGACCAGACTCAGCAACACGAGGAGACTCAGTGGTCAGTGTGTACAGGCTCGACCCGGGCTGACGGGTAAACGTGGCCAAGTGTCGGCCCGTCCGAGCACACGTACAGTGGGTCACCCGCTGACTCGCAGGCGTGAACTGGTCAACCCCCCGATCCTGTAGATCAGCTCCACTCACCAAGTTCGTAGAGAACGAGGGGAGGTAGAGACCTGACAGGGTGCCAGAGGGGGCTGCCGGACACGGTAAGACAGTGGAGAAGCTAGCAAGGACAGGACCCCCAGAAGGGTCCGCCAGGGAGACCGCAACCGGCCGACTAAGCGGCGTAAGCGTGGTGCGGTCTCGAAAGAAGGAGCGGGAAGCACCCGAGTCAAAGGTGAAGGTGAGCAAGGCCTGAGCCGACGTGGTACCTGAGAGAGCAGACTCACCAGCACCTGGGGCAGCAGACGCACTAGCACCTGGAGCAGCAGCCTCACCAGCACCTAGAGCAGCAGCCTCAATGCCCGGGTCAGGCGGAACGCACAGGTAACAGTCACCCTCATCACTAGTAGACACAGCATACATGGCAGCAAGAATAGCATCAAAGTCAAGATCAAAGATAGCAACCCCCGCCAGCTCTCCCCAGCGAGGGATCTCAGTGGCGTCACGGAACTGATGACGCCAAGCGTCCGTCAGGCGGCCGAAGCAGCGCTGGGTGGAGTGCGTGCCCCCGCACTGCTCACCAGCGCGGTCGCCTGTACGGAGGACGTAGGTGCAGGGACCAGTACCCCCACCCCGCTGACGCCCAGCGTACCACTCACGAAGCTGCTGAGGGGACAGGGTCTCACGACTGCGCTGCTGCTGCTGGCGCGGACCACCACCGGAGCCACTCCTCTGCGCAGAGCCGCGACCAGCTCCACCGCTGCCTCCGCCACCTCCGCCACCTCCGCCACCTCCGCCGCCTCCGCTCCCTCCGCCACCACCGCCGCCTCCTCCGCCTCCACTGCTGCCACCGACACCTCCACCCCCGCCACCACTCCCACCACCACCCCCACCTCCTCCACTGCCTCCACCACCACCTCCACCGCCCCCACTAGCCCCTCCAACGCCCTTGCCCCCCTTGCCCTTGCCGGTGCGGCGCTTCCCGCTAGGGGCAGACGCAGCGCCGACCGACTCGAAGCCAACGAGGTCGGCCGCAGCAACAGAAGCAACAGAGGGCAAGAGGGGGGAGGGAGAACACCCCTCAAAGACGGGGTTGCGAGGGTCACCACGAGAGGCTCCTACAGCGACTATGCTCTTCTCTGCTGCTAGGAGGCGCTCCTCGAGGAGGTCAACGGTGAGTGTGGTGGGGCAAACTGAGAGGAAGTGGTCCCTGACTAAGCGAAGGGAGTCAGGGAGCCGGGTGACTATGTAGTAGAGGGTGATGTACATGGGGGGGGGGTTCTTGGCACAGAACTCAGCAGGAAGCGCAGCGCGGTAGCGAGTGTCACTAGTGCGAAGGTGCGTAATGAGGTCAGCGACCGTGGGAAAGGCAGCAAGGTCAGGGAACAGGTACGGTAGCATGAGGCGGCTAAGCGCAGCAGTGGCAGGGGAAGAGTAGCGTGCAACTACAGCGTCGTACAAGGTCTTAGCACTCTTGTACTGGCTAAAGTGCGCACGCTCAGTGGTCGGTAAGTGGCGACGCACAGCAAGACGTGCAGCAGCATCGCGCGTGGCCCACTGTGAGCGAACAGTGCTGTCAGCAGTAGCAGGCGGGGCAGGAGAGACACCAGAGGTGAGATCGAACAGGGAGAGTCCGTCTGCCCTATCGCACTGTAAGAACAGCTGGAGGTCATCGACCCAGACCTCAAAGTCAACAGCACGACCCTCAGT